TGGACTGAATCTATGAAAACATGAGCCAAAATAAACTTTTCTCCTTTACATTTTTCTTGTCAGGTCTTTTGGTCAGAGCAACAAAACAGCTAAAATATCCATCTACTGTAGAACCAGCATGAATTGATTAGATTCATTTTTCTTTTCTTTTTTTTTTTTGCAATTTTCACAGCTTTTTTGAAGTAAAATTATAACCATAAAGCATACTCTTTATAAAACTGTACTTCAATGAATGTCAGTGGATTTCTAGATTCCTGCAACCGTCATAAACCATAATCTCCAAAAGTTCCCGCCTGCTAGTTTCTGTTCAATCCCCACTCCAACCTCTATCCCCACGAAAATGCTCTTCTGCTTTTTGTCCCTGCTCTTTGCCTTCTTTGGAAATTTTATATAAATTGGATTATGCAACATGTGGTGTTTTTTGCATCTGATTTCTCTTAACCTAGCATAGTGTATTTGAGGCTTCTTCATATTAATGCATGTACAAATAGTTTGTTCCATTTTTGTTGCTAAATACTATTCCATTTCATGGATATACTCTATTTTATTTATGCACTTAACAGTGGACATCTGGACTGTTTCCAGTTGTTGTGTTTATAAACATTTGTGTATGAGTCTTTGTGTGGACATATGTTTTCATGTCTCTTAGAAAGATGCTTAGGAGTGGAATTTCTGGATCATGTGGTAAATTTATGTTTGACTTTTTAAGAAGTTGCCAAACTTCTTAAATGAAAGTTTTCTGAAATGACTGCCATTTTATCTTGCTACTAGCAGTAGAGGAGGGTTTCAGGGTCTCCACATCCTAGCCAACACTTGGTACTGACGGTCTTTTATTATAGTCATTTTTGTGTGTGGTGTCATCTCATTGTGGTTTTTATAACTAGTGATGTTGAGCATCTTTTTTGGTGTACTAGTAGCCTTTCCAATACCTTCTTTTGTGAAATATCTATTCAAATCTTTTGATCGTTTTTAATTGGATTGTCCATTTTACTATTGAATTGTAGTTCTTTATAAATCCTCCACAAAAGTTCTTTAACACATGACTTAGACAACTATTTTCTCCCTGTCTATGCTTGTATTCTCATTTTCTTACAAGTGTCCCTTACTTTGATGAAGTCCAGTTTATTATCTTTTTTTTTCTTTCATGAATTACCTCTTTGGTGTCATATCCACGAAATCTTTGTCTGACTCAGGGTCACAGTGTCTGTAACTTCATTCCCTTATTCAAAGCACTTAATAAGATGTCACCTGTGCCAGGTGCCATGGGAGGAGGGGGCTGATGACTGAACAAGTGTATGGAGCGCTCCCCCTGCCTGAGGAGCTCTGGCAGGGTTAGAGGCACAGGCGAGGAAGCATCTGGTTGCTTTTACAGAAATGTTTGTAGTTGGAGCAAAAATGAGGGCTCAGAGGAAAAGCAAAGGTCAGCTTGGGTGGATGGTCTGATAAAGTTATGGTTGAGTGCTCAGAGATCAGAGAGGTGAAAATAGTGTTCTATGGCCTCAGAAGACATTAGGCAGAATGACCTGGTGGTTTTTACTAGGAGTGATTGCTGTCTTCAATCTAGTGGGCTGAGCGCCTTCATTTTAATGGGACACATACACACACACACACACACACACACACACACACACACACAGTGAGACACAGAGAGGAAGAGAGAATCTGTAACTTCTGACAGTGTGGGCATTGACACAAGATCATCTTCTTTTAAAGTTATCATCTTCTACAGTTTGTGTGGGAGACCTGCTCGTCCCCTCCCCATGCCTTTTGAAACATCAAGGGTGGCACACCTGGATTCTCATTCTTATGTAAAGTCGGTGACCTTGAGGCATCTGGTGATGAGCCTCCAGTATTAAGGTTCAGTTGTGAATGGCTGTTCCTTATTTGGCAAAGATTTTAACTATGGCATTTACTCGTTTCTATCCTAAATAAGAATAAGCAAACTTGTCGGATAGCAAGATTGACCCTAAGGACTATTCTAAGAAGGAATTTTCAAGAAACTACAGCAAAGAGAAAGGCTCACGTTTTGCCTTGGTGTCAGAATCTCAGGGCTTGACGGGAGGTTATCTGCTCTCTTGCCACTTGCATTCACACTACCTGAACTTATTGGGAATGCAGACTCTCGAGCCCCACCCAGAGAGTAGGGTAGAAGAACAGATCTTCTGGCCATACTTTCTCAAGAGGAGAAGCAAAATCTACTTTGCACCTAGATCCCCAGGTGATTTGCAAGCACTTTTAGGCTTGCAAAATGCTGGTCTCCTCTAGTGGTTTTGGAGTCCTTTGCAAATACGCTGGCTAAATGTTCATCCAAGCTCTGCTTAATAATTCCTGGGACAGATAGTCAAGGTCATTCAGCAGATGAGAATGGTCCTTTTAGTTGTCTTTTTAGATCAGGCTGGTTAGGCAGATAAGTGGGCATAAGTGGATAAATTGCTGCGCTGTAATTTGCAAGGGCAGGTCAGCTGTTTGAGTTACACTTTAAAACAGCTCATCTTTATAGCAAACTGCTTAAAAGGTTTGGAGGAAACAAGATGAAGAGTTGGTGTGTGATTCCCTGTCTGCTTACCCTCATTCTACAGAGTATCTACTTTTAGGAAAATGTAGCATTATTGTCTGTGGGTGGGATTAATGCAAATTGGTTGTCATCCGTTATTCTGAGTACTTGTTTAAAATGCCACATGCTTTTTTTTTTTTCATACTAATATGAGCAGATTGATAGCAGTGGCTCTCAAACTCTAGTGTGTATCTGAATCACCTGGAGATCTTGTTAAAACAGACTGCTAACAATCTGTTATTGTTAAAATCAGATTTGCCCCACTTTTAAAGTTTTTAAAATTTTCTTATTTATTTATGTATTTGAATTAATTATACATAAACTTTTAAAGTTTTTGATTTAGTTTATGGGGTGGGAACTGACAATTTGCATTTCTAGTAATCCCCAGGTGATTGATTCCAATGATGAATTATTAGGAATAGTACCTTCAAATGCATTTTTGGCACCACAGGATCTAGACTCTTCTTTGACACTGTGTTCTGATGATACAGAATAGAAGGCCAAATTTTTTCAGTAATCCGTTGTCAAGGGATACAGAGTACCTGGGGCCATTTATAGGAATAATCTAACAACATTTTCTGAGACCATTGATTTCAAACTCTTCTGTTCCAAAGTTACATCCAAGGTGCTAAAAAGCAATGTAGTTTTTCTCCCTCTCCTACTCTGCTCGTTTCTGCCTTCCTCTGATGGCAGATGGATAGTTCTGGATAGTCGATCACACCGTGTTTGATCTTGAAATCCTCAGTGCCCACTGGTTGGCTGATCAGTGGCCTCTGTGGCTGAGACCTTTAGCATAGGGCTGGTTCTGAGCTAGGTGACTTCCAGGTCATTGTAATTACATTTACACCCTTGGTACCTTGTAGGCTCAGACCCTAAGGGGAGAATGCTACCCTGTGAGGACCAAGCTCTTGTAAGTCCTGTACCACCTTAATGAACATCTCCCACACAGCACAGGGCCCAGGCATCTCTGATCTGGGTTGCTTTGGGTGAAATTTTCCCACCTGTGTCAGCTGCTGAGCTTTGAATGATCTTCTCTGACCTTTTTGGTGCCACTTGTCTAGAGATTGTCTGCAGACTGCTCGGTAACAGAGGCTTCCTGCCAGTGCAAACCCGTGACTGCCCTTTACACTGTAATTGAGTGGAGACAGGATTTACCTCATCAGAGCACCTTGCCCGACTCCATTTCATATTATCAAAAACAGAGACCCAGGACTATATTTTTTTTATAAAAAATTTATTGAGATGATGTAATTATAGGCTTTTCTTTAAAAATTATTTGCAACTCACTGGCCCTGAGAAAAGGCATTTTTTTTTCTTTTTTTGTTACATTCATTTGATTCAGTCCCTTATAAACCCCACACCTCATAAACAAGAGATTAGAAACTAGACCAAAAAAAAAAAAAAATTCATTCTAGATTCGTTCTGGTTTGCAGGTGGGTGTAGTCACAGAGAATGTTCACTTGACATGTGTGAAAGACAAAGGAGTTTGCAGTTGTTTAGTGTTGATGCAGATGGGGCCAAAAGAGTATCAGGTTAGTCTTCTGTGGTTCTGACAACACAGGGATTATTAGGTGTCCCCTCCCTCCCCCATCCCTCTGGCTTCCTTGTATCACTTCCTTTATTCTAGGTTTCTGCTCGGAAAAGGAGCAGACTGAGTGAATGAAAGCTTCTGACTAGCACCGAATGCTTAGGGAAAGAAAACTACCCTTTGTTCTTTGTCTGTTTTTCCAAATCTCTTATCTTCAGTTTCCTGGGTGATAATGGGTCAAATGGGGGAGTGGTCAAGCTGGATCCCAATCCTAATTCTGTCCCTGTCATATTATCTGCTCCAACTGCGGCATGGTGACATTACCTCTCTGATACTCAGGCTTCCTTTCTGCAAATGGCAGTTAATGTTTCAAAAACATATCCAGGGCTGGAGCCTAGGCAGGGAAGGATGGACATGGGGGTTATTTAGTCATTTTGACCAATTCTGTTGTAGCCACTTTTAAATTTCAGCTAAAGGGACATTTTTAGTTGTATAAGGTATCAGCCCTTGATCAGAGGATTTTAAAGAGATGGTTGAAAGGAGAAAATCCATCAGTTCCTCTTTTCTTGTGGGGGACCTCCAAATGGGATTTGGAACATTGGCAATGCTGCCTAAGGGCAAGACCAAGTGGCCTTGGATCAAGCATATCTGAGAGACATGTTATTACCTTTGACAGGACCCATGTAGCCAACTACCACTCTTCTGACAGAAGGAGACAGCTCAGTGAACTCATGATTTGGGGAAAGGGAATTCCAAGACATGAGTGAGAGCGTCCACCTTTCATACGGCAGTGCCCCTCTGCATTTTCCTTTCCTGACTTCAGATTTTGTGGGCTACGAGTTCCCATGATGGCCACAGAGAAAGGCCAACTATTCAGATGATACATGAACTTTTAATTTAGTCTGGGGTGAAATTTTCATCACTGCTAGTCCTTAGTGTGGAACTGAGAAATTTCATGCTGGACGATCCTGTAGGTAGAATCTAAACTCTCAGGGGGAGGGATTGTGCCTGGTTCATCTTTGAATCCCTCACAATGTCTGTTAGGCGATTCCCTGAGGTTTGATCAATTGAATGTGAAATCTTCAGGGTCTGCAGTAAGTCAATACTGTAGCTCTGGTATCGGACTGTCCAGCTCTTCTCTCAAAGAACAAGGACTTTTGCAGTGAAGGGAATCAAGAGAAAAATCATTATTGGCAATGTTGGAATGGGAAATTAAGATTATATTGGAATTAGCATCTCTACTTCAAGTGGCTGGAGAAGTCATCCTAAGTCTTACTTATTTATAAGGTATTGCTTTGAATACAGAAATCCTTGGGGGCAAAAAGGCATTTCCCTCCATTTTTCATCTGTAAGACTTGGAATGGTAAGAGACTGAGTTCAGAAACTTGGGTCAAGTGGCCAGAATGAGATGTTCTCATCTCAGGGAAGAGGAACATCATGCCCTGGTGTGTTTTCATATTCCTACAAGAACCTCGGTAAAAAGTCCATCTTTCTCTCCAGTTCTGAAACTTGGTGACTTTCAGATCACACCAGGTATTTGGCTTAATCTCTCCATTTGAGATATAGTACCAGTCATCTTAGAGGCTGAAAAATGTATTACCTGAACACTCTTGAAAGACATCCACAGCTGCTGGAATCCAGCAGAATCACACCACCCTTCCAGCAGATTGAGACTGAACCCTTCCCAATGAGGCCCTCTAGGCTCACACAGAAGGCAGAATGGGGGAAGGAAGTGACAGTAAGAGGAGGCTGGCCGCCACCTGTGGTCCGGTAAGAGGCAGGGACAGAGCGAGACTAATGAGCCCAGATCGGCTCCTCAATTCCAGTGTCTGTGAACCATAGTTCATCTATTTGACCCCCACCCCAGGCTGGAATCCTTTTCAGGAAGGCCCAGGGGGAATTCCTCTTGCTTGTGTGCCCCCAACTCAACTCAGAAATGGCAGGAGGACAAGCCTGGGGCCTGCCAGCTTCACAGGGAACTGCTGCTGGTGGAGCATATAAGTACCTCAGAGAGCTGAGAGACGCTAACCCGATGGAGGAGCCAAGGAAACAGGGAGGAATGGGGAGGGGGTGCTTTTCAAGGCAGGTCTAATTTTCTGAATTAAAAAAGACGGTATTCCCAAAATTGGATATTCGAATCTATAATGGAAGAGTTAATGTGGATGGCTAGAAAAGGAAAAAAAAAAAATCTAAAATCTGTTATCAACAGAAGTACTAAGATGGCACGACCCTCCTTCTGTAAGAGACTACCAACCTTATTTTGAGAGGTGAAAAAGAGCCAGGAATGGATCCGTTCTGAAATACAACGGTGAAGGAAGAAGGAGAAAGTAATGGATCTGAGGAACTTGCTTTCTGCCCACGCTGGGCAGACCCTGGCTGCATCTGGGACTCCATTCTGGAGTACTCCCCTCACAAATGTTCTGTGTTCAGTGGGGACCAGGAAACTTTAAAAAGGCTAGGAAGTAGGGGGGCGGTGGGGAGATCAGGTGCTGTGGGAAACTGACCACAAGATGGCCCCTGGAATGGAGCAGAGAGGAGCTTTTTTTTTTTCTCAATAACCTGTTTCACAAAACAAATCTCCCCTGTAGAAATAATTTTTGCCCAGTCTCTGGACTGCCAGGCCTGTGTGGTCTTTTTGTATTTGCAGCACTTGCAAGCTAATCCCAAGCAGCCGGGGGCCTTCCTAACAACTTGCCTTATCTGACGCTGTAGCTGGTTGGTTCTCACCGTCATCTCAGGGACTCTCAGGGACGGCCTGCTGGAATAGCACTTATCTTTCTGGAGTACAGCAGCATCTGTGAGGGTTCTGGCCTCCCTCAGCTGGGTGGCCAGATGCTGGCATAGGGGTCTAATTTTGGCTGCTGGACACAAAGCACCCAGGTCACTGATTCTATTTAGGTGCCAAGAATCCCCAAGATTCTGCAGGAGACTGAACTCGGCTGAAAGGCATGTGAAGTGCAACAGCAGGCGGAGGAGGGGTTGGGGGGCGGGACACAGGGGAGCCAGGAAAGGAAGGTGAGCAAGAATGAAAAAGAGAGCTCTCCTTCTCGTGTGATCATTTTTTAAAAGCATCTTTTTTTTTTTCTTTTTTCTTTTTTTTCAGCCAAGACCCAACTGCAACAGAAACAAACCTGATCCACGTGGCAGGAAAAAGAGGAACCTGATCCCTTCTGCAAGTATTCTTTCCTGACCAGCTGGGCTGGCTGTACTTTGTGAGATTTGCAAAAAATATATATATATAATAGATATATATTTCCATAGGAAAACAACCTCCGATGTCTTCCCTTATATGAACGATGAAAAGTCAAACTGCAGGTTCTTAAAAAAACAAAAACAAAAACACCATGAGACTAACAACAGGTGGAAGGGTGAGGGTGAGGAATTACAGGTGGACAGATTCCAAAGAAGGAAATGTGACTCGTGAGTCCCAGGCTCTGTGCCCTCCGCCAGAATTCCAGCCCCGCCTTTGCCGGGTGGTTTGTCTAAGGTGCTCTGGGGTCCCTCTTGGTCTGCAAGAGAAGTGTTCCTGCCATCGCTGGGTCTCTTCCTTTCCAGCCGGCCTCAGCCCGCCAGCTTCATCAAGCCTCCAGTGATCCTGGTGGGCAGGGGCTCCCGCGACCTCAGCCCACCCAGGCGGCGTGTGGCTGCCTTCAGCACTCGTCCTCCTGGTATATTTGTTCATCCAGCTCCTGGGACTCAAGGTGCTCCAGACGATCTGTTCGGCCACTCATGATTTCATCTGGGGTTTTCATAAACCTTTGGGAGAGAAAAATGGAGGGGTCAAGAGAGCACATTTCTTCAAAGCTATCTTTACACTTCTGAATTCCAACCCATAAATCGAGGCCCTGTCATCTTACAGTAGCTGGAGAGGTGCTGATCCCAAACACTAATGCCAACATGGTGCAAATTAGCAAAAGGTACCCCTTCCTCTGATTGCCTAAAAAGTGGCAAAATGACTATAACGTCTAGTTTGACTAGGGTGGGGTAGACAGCACCCTTCAGACCGATGGGGCATGTTACTGCAGGACCACGAGGGAACTTAGGCACAGTTCATGTGTCTGTGTTTCTGATTTTTTAGAGAATTAGGTTTTACAAAGACCCACAAGAGTCATATATCCATTTTTATTCCAGACCAGGGGGCCAGGGAATGGTATTCAAAACTTGAATTTAACATGAAGGATACAATTGAATATTAAATTTAAAAAAAAAAATGGCTCACTTGGAAATACCATCAGTGACCTGTGTCAACCATGATTGACATGGCTCAGGAAGGTGGCCTGGTTATAAATGTCCTTACAGTGGGAGTGCTCCTTCTACAGCCCCAGCATGACTGCATGCTGTTCCCTTTCCATACACTGCCTGCAGCAGACAAACTACTTTAAAGCACACATTCTTCTCTCATCATCTTTGTTCAAAAAGCCTAAGATGTATCAAGTCAAAGATGTACTCTCTGGCCTGCCTATCTGGGTCTTCTATCATTCCTACCCAGGAAAATCTTATCGTCCACTGCTCACTTCCATGAACCCTCTATTCCAGTCTGCCAGTCTTTTTCTTATATAGACCATCGTTCAGGTCTTCCCATAAATCTTTCACTTTGTCCTTATCAGGAACCCTGTTCACTCCTTTCACTACTCATTCTTTGTGTTCTGCTTTATCATCAAAGAGCTGCTTAATGTGTCAGTCCATACTGAAATCTACCTTCACTCAAAACCTAAACTTCTTTTTCTTTGATTCATTTTTAATTTTTAATTTTTTTTTGGTTCTTTTGGGATTAAACCCAAGGCCTTGAACATGCTAGGAAAGTGCTCTACTGAGCTACACCCCAAATCCCTTTAATATCTAAAAATCTTGTAAAGAAGCCATCATTTTATAGCAAGTTTGGCTTTCAACACTCATTTCCTCAAAAATAACCAATGGCTCCCTCACTAATAGCACTATTCTTTTTTCTTGCTGAAAATCTTTTATTGGAAGCCTATGAACCTTCTAATTACTACTGATTTTCTTCTCTGCCCACTATTGCTAAACTTCTGAAGCAGTGTGATGTGTAGCATCAGTCTTCTGCTTTTATCCTTTAGCTAAAACTTCGCCCTCAACATCCTGAAGTCACTAACCGATCCCTCTAGGCCAACTCCACAGATAGGCTGTACTTGGTTCTCGAAACTACCGCCTTCTCCTTTGGACTACTTTGTCATAGTAATCTTCTGCTCTTTTATACCAAGTTTGTCATGAAATATTTATTGAAACCCTCCCTAAGGTATAAAACAGAGTTATATAAAGTACCATCCTCTACCTTCTGGGAGCTTATGATCCAGTTGAGGGGAGAAGGATTTCATACATACACCTATTAAAAATAGAAATCAAGGTGTGTTTTTTAAGGGCCAAGGGAACCCAAGAAATGATGGAGGAAGAGCATGGGAGAGCTGAAGAAGGCTTTGTAAAGGTAGGAGAACTGAGGCGGGCCTTGAGGGCATGTGTATTTTAAAGGTAAAGGGATATGTACTTGAAGCAAAAGGAATCATATCAGTGTCACCGGAACACCAGAAGTGTGTATTATGAATTCAGGAGGCAGGGGAATGGTGGACCAGACATAGAAGGAGATTGCTGAATTAATCCTGGTGGGAACGTTCAAAGCACAGACATCAGCTTCCTTTGCCAGGGAAGCAGGAACAATGCTTTTGCCTTTCCTCTACCTTCCCAATCTCACGCAAGAGCCTGTCATTGGTAGTAGGCTCCAACCTGGCACCGTGTGGCATCAAATCCTGGGAAACGTGGTTCCCAGGCTTCTAAGCCTCTGTAACACAGAATGGAATGGACAATTCAGTACCATGCCTCACTTAGATACAGGAATTAAAAATAGTTGTAGTTTCAAGACGGATTAAGAATGGTGATGCGGATGATGAACAGCAAGAATTCTGGGAGGAATTTCTAGTTCTTTCTTAATATGTCTGAAAATCTAATGTGATATTTAAGTGGGAGTCCTTAAAGTGTTAAAAGAAGCTCTTGAACATGCACATTTGGAATTTCAGGGAAATTTTTAGAGCTTGATCTAAATTTGGTGACAAAATGGAGGTGACAAATGAAGTCGTACAATGGGACCAATTCATTCAGGAAAAAAGTATAGAGTAGGAAGAACAGGGACCCAAGGATTAAGTTTAGGATGAAAGATAGAGAGAAGGTATCAACAGAGCCAGAGTTAGGAGGGTTCTTTTATATTTATTCCATTCTTCCATTATTCATTTCTTGAAGAGCCTTTTCTGTTTTCGTGGAAGACTGCAATTATTTTTACTATTCCTTAATTTCCACTCCTTCTCAAAGCTAAAGCCTAATTGCTCTTTCCAATAATTACCACCAGCCCAGAGAGCTCATGTGCTCTTCCATAGTGTTATTTTCTACCTGTATACAGATAATTCAAAATCCACATCTCTAGTCCGAACTGAGGCTCTTTTCTTTGTCCACTTGCCCAAACTCTTAACCTAAGGTCATATTTGTTGCTCGCATATTCTCCCACATCCTCGATGCCACTGCATCAATTACTAACCGTGTCGGGGGACTACTTCTACCTTTCCTGAGTGGTCCTTCATATACCTTCTTTTTCTTTTCTAATTCTTGAAATCATAATCTATATGGTAAGATAAATGGCTGGAACTCATTAGCTGTAGGAATTCTGAAAAGAAGAATATGTAGTGCAGGGGCTTTCCCACTTTTTTGACTGTGAAGCATTAGAAGAAATATATTTTACATCATGATTCATCACACACACACACACACACACACAAACACACACATACACGGCAGAAACCAAATCTTTGTGAATCAACAGTCACTCTTCATGTGATGCAGTCTGATATTTTCATCTCTATCTTATCCTGTTTTCTACTGCATTAAAAAAAAAAAAAAAACCCAAAAAACAGAGACTGACCCCTTAAGCCTATTTCATGACTCACTCTGGGTCATGACCTGCAGTTTGACAAACCCTGGTTGATGAGGCTGAGAACCTGGACGTTCAGGTTTAATTCCTTACTTTGACATTGACAATGGCTACTCTGATTGTTCCCTTTACCTATACTGGACTTCAAAGCCAGACAATACTATTTGGCCACTGCATTATTTTAAAGGTGAGTCAGACGGTGTTTATATTTAGTTTTGGCTTTACTAGAGGCCAGACATCAATATAAAAAAGTGTTTCCCCCCCCCCTTCAATCTCAACAAACCAGCACCTGGTATCCAGTTTGTAATATTTGCAATAATGGCTTTGGGGATCAGATAGGCAGGTAGAGATCTTCACAATCTCCCTCCTCCCCCTTATTTAAAGAAGACAATATCCTCCTAAAAGAAGGAAAGGAAGAAAACGGAAGTGCTACCTGAACAAAAGCCTTTGTCCTGGCTCCTTCCTGATAATGTTTAGTTTGTAGTAGTGGCGCAGGGCTCTGGACATTTTCTCATAGGTCATGTTTGTTCTGTTCTGTTTGTTCAAAGGAGGAAGAGAGAAAAAAAGCACAAAGACACAATGAAATGAACCTCAGAAAAGGAACTGGGGGAGCTATTAAAATAAAAACTCCTCAGCTGGTCCACGTGGCCCTGCCAGCTTGGGAACACTACCTGCTAACGTGCCACCTTCCAGACCCCTTCGTTCCTGTTCCTTCCCCTTGGCTTTCACATACACCGAGGCCAAGGTTTTCCTTTAGGGTGAACCACCCTTTGTCAGAGGCCTGGAGCTCTGGCCAATAAAACCCCAGCCACCTCCCTCAGGTCCTTCCTCCAAGACTGTTCTCTGCTTTGCCCCGGCGATTTCCTGAAGATTCCCCCAATCTGGGTCCTCCTTCACCTCCTGACCCATACAGAATTTCTTTTTTTGTTGCAATGACCTTTCTTAAATGTGTTTCTGGTCTGTCATTTTAAGGAAGAGATTTTTGTTGTTGTTGTTGAAATTCCTATGGTGGCAGCAAGAATACGGTGGTGGTGAGCCCTTGAGCCACGGTACAATCTGGGAGTTGCAGAAAGTATTTCTCAGTGACTCACACACTTAAGTGTCTGTCAGTGAAGCCTGGCCATATTTGGTCATGGCCTGCATCAGGTCCTTCTCAACCCAGCCAGAGCATGGACTGCCTTCTTAGGAGGCTGCAGGCCTGGCAGAGCTCAGCTGTGCATCCCTGCCCTTTCGGTCCCTGAGCTGAGGCTGTGCCACCCGGTGCCACCAGGGTACCTCCAGCTTGACCTCAGATCCACCTGTGTATTGTTTGACCTGGATCATGAGTCTCCACTTATTAGATCTGCACATTGGAATAGTCTCCCTTTCTATAAAAGACTTCCTTTGTAAATTCCATTTCCTCCTAGTTTGGAAAACTGTGGGGCAAACTTGCTGCACTGTTTTCTTGTAAAAACAAGGTTTTACAGCCCAGAGACATATTTTTCCATGTAGAAATGGACTTCTGTGAACATGGGAGTTTCCAACTGAGCAGGACAGAAGTGACACTTCCCAAAGGTCCCCCATGAGTCATAGAGCTCATAACACTTCCCTGTCACCTAGTTCCTATGACAGCACGGGTGGCAGGGCCAGGTGGAGGGAAGTGGCACTGAGGGATACTTACAATGCAGTCTATCAAACTGAGATTTACTGAGTCAGTGGGCATTTGGCATGAGTAACATGGAAAGAGGCATCTTTAATTATTTCCTTCCTTTGTGACTGTCTTCCAATGAGGAATAAACTAAATGATAATGGGCAGACTTAGGAAGTAGAACAGACAATAACCCTCCAATCCAGAGATGCACATTTTTTTTTTTTTTGGCACTAGTTCATAGAGCAAGGATCTGCTGCCCTTTTACCTTATGGTTTCCCCACAGTCGAGCCAGGCCATTGGGATCCACTATCCGGAATATTTTGGATTCTTTGTCCTCCCATCGGATGAAGTTTTCGTACCGGCTGTCAGAAAGCAACTGATAGACGTAATCCCAAAGCAGTCTACAGTCTACAGAGGAAAATGAAGGGAAAATAGCGTTGAAAATGTTTCCTGTTGAGGCATGAACAACGAGAATCAGAAAAGAATTCAGTAATCACTTTTGCCAGGTGTGAACTACAGTGAAGAATCTATGGTCCAGAGAGAGTGAGGGAGACTGTGCTGGAGAAGTATGATCTTTGACCTGTGGAGGCTTAGAGATCCTCTGGGCCCACCACCCCCTTTCACCGATGAGGACATCATGACCCAGAATGAGGAAAAGTCTTATCTTTGGTCATGGCCAGAACTTGAACTTGAACACAGTTCATTGAAAGATAGAACAAGCTCTATCTGGGAATGAGTTGGCTTTGGTGGACGCCTGCAAACGGGCTAGCAGGGTGAAAGGTGGAAAGAATGTTTTAAAGTTCCAGAGAAAGTGGTGTGTTAAAAAATGGTGGGGTTAAAAGATTCTTTTGATGTTGGTGGAGACACTGAATAGATAAACATGAGAAGACTGGGCTGGGCCAAAACACGGCCCAAAAGCAATGCAAACCTATGTAGTGAAAATCTATGTAGCTTGGTGATGCTGACAGTGATAACCGTGGGATTTTTAAAAAGAAATAGATAACTCTCACGATATCACGCTTTGGAGACCTTTAAAATTGCTTTACTAGAATCATGGTAGAGAGGAACCTGGTGTAGAAAATCCTTTCTCTACTGGCAGAACCGATGTTTTATTATATAGTCAGGCAACAAATATTTATTAAGTGACTTAGAACAGCCCTGGTTCTGTGCTAAGCCAAAGCTCTTGGCTGTGGATTGGCAAATTAAAAGAGAAGACATGGGATGCACACCCCTCCCCTGTTCTGTTTCTTTCTGGGTTTGTGCTGTACAGGTATGTGGTTTGTCCTCTAGCAGAGCCTTGATGGGTAGGTGGACATAGACATGTACCTTCTGGGTTTAGATGACACAGGACTGGCCTCCAGATGAGAATTAGAGGTGTCATTTCCAGGTGGTCATTGTATGATTTTGGCCCTAGCCAGAATAGCTGGTAATGGAAGATCACTGAATGACAAATATGTTTTTGGCATGTATAGGTATTATTTTTAATCCTCAAAGAGGTCACTGGGATTTGAATTCCTGGCTCCTGACTATAATGTGCTATCTGGTACAATGGGAAGGGCCTGGCCTGGCGCACCTGGGAAGGGCATGTCCAGTTGAGACTTGGAATATCTTATAGTCGGCACGTTCACACGTCAGAGACAGGAAGTCACCCTTCTTTGGAGAGAGTATATTTACAAGGGGAATTTAGTCAGGCAACCACTAATCTCCCTGAGATTCTATTTCCTCATTTATGAAATGAGAATCGCAACACTTACTTTACAGGATTATTGTATTAGTGATAATGTGGGTGAAAGGAAAGTAATAAAAATAACAGCAATATTTATTGGGTGCTGTTTGCAGGCACTGTACTGTATCTTCTGCGAGCGTGGTTCCACTTGGCCCTTACACTACCATGAGGCAGGTGCTGTTGCTATTCCTATTTAATAGGCCAGGAAGCTGGGGCCAAGAGGGCTTGGTAATTTACTCACTCAGGGTACATCACGATGCTAGGCTCTGATTGTCTATAAAGCCTGTGCCATGCCACAGTTCCGAATTCGACTTCTATTCTCAGAGACGCTGTACAATGGGTACCTATCTGTAAAAACCTAAGGACTTTCTAGGGCAAAGTTTAACCATGTAGTGCATCCTTTGTGAAATCCAGCTTTCTCTCTGAAGGGCAGAAGGAACTGGCAAAAAATATGGGGTTTTCCAGGTAGCTTGATCCTTGAAGGAACTACCATGAAGCTTAAATTGACCCTAAATCTTTTTAGTATCCCTTAGTGTATCATTTCTTTTGTATTGTCTCTGCCTAAAAATTAATGTGATGTGTGATTTGTTGTGTTTTGGAAAAAGACAAGTGGCATCCTTCTTGAAACAATGATACCACAGTCTTGGAATTTGAACCCCATTCTAACATCAGAAGCTGGTGAGCCCCTTCTTCTGTTCACACCCTTTCTTGAGGGTTCATTTGTTATTGCCCCAGTGTGGGCTGAGGTGGAGGAAGCAAGCGGGCCACCAACCGTAGTGTCAGTGTAAGTACCCTGAGAAGTCGGTACCACACGATTGCAGACAGAATAATCTAGCTCGTTTTTAAAACACTTGGAGAGGATGACTCCAGTCTCTACGCAAAGCAGAGAAGTAGACTGTGTCTTTACCCCTCAGCTACCTCCCTGTCCTGCCTCACTTTCATTACAAAGGGAACAGGGAATTACTATGGTCTGAATGTCAAGTGCCCCCTGCCATTCACATGCTGAATCCTATCCCCCAAGGTAATAGTATCAAGAGGTGAGTCTTCGGGAGGGGGTTAAGCCATGGGGCTCCGTCCTCATGAGAGGGATTAGTGCCCTTATAGAAGGGGTCTGAGAGAGGTCCCATGCCCTCTCATCATGAGAGGACACAGCAAGAAGGTGCTCTCTATGAACTAAAAGATGGGCCCTCACCAGACCTCTGATCTACCTGCACCTTGATCTTGGACTAACCAGTCTCCAGAAGTGTGAGCAATGTATTTTTGTTATCTATGAGCCACCCAGTTTCTGGTGTTTTGTTACAGTACCCTCAATGGACTAAGACAAGAACTGAGCTGTGGTTCAATTATCCACTCTTTGACTCGCCATCAAATGGCAGGCATATTTTCATTTTCCATAGTTCCTTCCAACTGGAAAACATCTGACAAAATCAAATGTTATCATAAAAATGTCAGTAAGTCAGGAAGGACAAAGGTGGTTTGCATGTAACCCCTCCCACATCTCCTCATACATTTAGGATCACCTTTACTATAAAGAATTGAGGATACCTTTGGATGCCTCTGGAATGAGAATTAATTCTCCAGTGCATTCATTTTAACACAATTTTACATAAAGAAATTACCCAGTTGTTGTTGTTGTTGTTGTTGTTGTGTGTGTGTGTGTGTGTGTGTGTATGTGTAAAGAAATTTTACCCATAAGAAAGGTGAGTGAGATGCTCTGGGCTCTGGGCAGAAGGTTTTGCACCCTAGAGGCCCATTGTGAGCTGAAACCCATTGCTGATGGTTCTAACACCCATCACCATCTGCACAGGGTTTCCATTGCTTTGTTTCTATTCTCTCTTTTACATTATAGTGCTTACTAGTTCTCATAAAATAGTAAAATGTCAAGCAGACGATTTCTCCAAACCTGGGCGACCCAGCACTAGGGTATCATGTTGGATTTTCAGAGGCATCAAACGTGGGTCTTGTTTTCATGTTACCTGCTCTTTGGGTGACAAATAAAGGACAAAGCTTAGTAGAAAACGAACTTTACCTACAAGTTTCATGGACATTTATATATTGCACACTTTTTTCTTTCATAGACATGAGGGAAAGAAAACCCCAAAAACTAACACAGAGCAAGCTTCCAATTGATCACTTTAAATGACATTTAATCCAGCAAAGCCAACATCGGTTGAGTAATAAAAAATCTGTTGACATTCAAGACATATTGAATTATGCTGTCACTAATGGAGGTAGCAACAGGAATTTTGTGGCATAAAGAAGTTGTTTCAAGCTCAGAGTATAAATGGCTTTTATAACACTATCGATTGCTGTTTTTTTTAGTTAAAAATTATGTCCAGATGTTAAAAATATCTGCCTAATCACACAACCACCCCCCCAACTCTTTTTTTTTTTTTTTTAAACTATTGAAGTTAAAGCCATGCAAGTTATTTTTGGTTTTAAGATTTCTACTAAATAAAAGGTATGCCCTCTTTCATTCCATGGATCCTTTGGAAGCTGTTATCAGGGTCCACCTAGACTCTTCTATGTCTGTATAGATACTATTTTCTTTGATCATCAATGAAAATATTTAATACAATTCAATAAAACTCACCTCACTATAAAACAACTGAATATGCAAGTGTAAGACTTTTTTTAAAAAATCACATAGTATTCACTAATTTTAAATGCATTTCTCTTAAACTAAAGGGCTGCCTTCTCTATCAAGACATGGTTATTTAGAGAAACGTCCATTACTTGGATGGTCTCTTCCAGGAGAGGAAGCTTATGAAAGGGTTTAGCTAGAATAAAGTTCTACTTTCCAATTGCAGAAAGAGAGTTCTCTCTGTTTCCTGCTGGGTGAAGTACCCTAGGCATCCGCTGCTAAAAGGCATTGTAAAAAAAATCCCTTCCTGTGGTTAAAGGAGAAATATTTTCACTCCCACGTCTGTCTCCTACCAGAGACTCATTGTATAAACTCATTGAACAGAGACCGTAAAAAAGATGGGCAATTTACACATAACCAACATGGTTTAAAAAAAAAAAAACATGCTAGACAAAGCTGATGTTTAAAAATTTTGAGTAGGTCAAGTTATGGACAGAAGGAATGTATAAGGACAATGGCTAACTGAACTTTCAGCAAAGCTTCTAAGAAAATCATTTTATGTTGTTTTAATGGCCCAAATAAAATTTTAGAAAAAGGCTTATAAACCAGAGTACCATGAATATAATCACAAATAGGGTGAGGCTGAGGATCTCTATGTTTTTAAAATTTATTACCTAAGAATTGATAAATTTATTTCCAGTTCAGCAACAGAACAGGTAAAGTAGCATACAAAATTTAAGAACTTGCTACTGTGCTTTAAACCAGTGATTCTAAACCAGAGGGGCAATTATGCTCTCAAGGGGGTATTCGGCAAATGTTTGGAGACATTTTTGCTTAAGCTGACAGAGGTGGAGAGAACTTCTGGCATCTAGTGGGAAGAGGCCAGAGATGCTGCTAAATATCTTCTAACGCACAGGATAAGTCCCCACATCAAAATTATTTGGCCCAAATATCAAGAGTGCTAAGATTGGGAAATTGCTTGTAGAAACAGTTTTATAACATTCAGGGGACCATCTGCTACCTAATCCTTTTTTTTCCCTTTTCCATTCTAGATTGGCTATTACCTAGAAGCAAAAAGTTGATAAATCCAGTGCAGCC